AACCCCCCCCCACCCCCCACCCCACCCCCCCCACCCCCCCACTTCACCCCAACAAGATATGTAATTTTAATGAGCAGTTGTGTTCAGTAACCTCACCTAATTACATGTCAGGTGCAAGAACTTACATTGTTTGGTGGTTGAGTATCTTTTCATTTTCTCCTACCCCCCCACCCAATAGATTGTTGGTGGTTGAATGTCCTTTCACCTTCACTTTCCCCCTGAAAGTGTGCAAGTGAGTGCTAAGTGCGCAAGTGAGGTAAAGTGCGCAAGTGAGGTTATTTGGGGGTGCGTTATTTGGGGGTGCGCAAGTGAGTGCTTGGCCCCTGCTGGAGATAGCTCAAATCCAAAACAACACATGGCCGAAAAGATTCAAGTGGCTTTTCAAATCCCGGGTAGATGCACAATTTATAATAATACATCGATTTACCAGTTGGATCACCTGCTGGTGTTTTTCTTCTCCAAAACGTCTGGAGATGGATTCAAATCCCATGGGTGGCTCGTCTCGAGCTCCCTGGAGCCTGAAAGCGCCGGGTGCACCGCAAATCGCGGGGTTCACACCGTGCCAGGAGATGTCTTTGAAGCTCATCGCCTTCGGAGTGACCGGCTTCTTCTTTGGACCGGAACGATTGTGCCCAGGTTACCACCTAATGAGTTGAACCCAGTGTGGTGTGAGAGCCTGGTGTGTGTGTATGTATATATTTCCAATATAGCGATGGCCTCCCACCTAATCCATCGGGCTCCTTCGGCGAATGGAACGCCGAACCGAAGCACCCGAAGAAGAAGCCGGTGACGTCTGTCCATTGGGTTCGGGTCGTTCACGGAGGCGTGTGCCCGGATTTTCCACACGGCTTCAGAGCCTGGAGGGTGATGTCGGGCCGACGGTGACGGTGAGAAGCAATTTGGTGTGATGAGAAGGAATCGATAGTATTGCGATAGGTGATTCAAAGCACTTTCTTCACCTTCTTCACACCTTTTTTGAGGTGATTAGCAATGTCATGTCTAGAGGAGTGCATCGAATCCGGACCTATCAGAAGCAGAGTTGGTTGCAGGTCCCCCCACCGCCCCAGAACCTCCATGAGAATCCAAATGTGTGACTCACGCTTTTGCCCGATGGAATCATAAGGGTCATCAAAGGGTCGAGGTCAATAGCCAGCAGATGATGTTCAAGGCTCCAGGTTGGAGGCCATTGCTAGTAGGTTGGAGGTCATCAGAGGTCTTTTCTTGATTTAGTTGCTACCGTCCAAGGATTTATTTTTGGGGTGAATGGACATCCCGAATTGTTCCATGGGGCCGAAGATAGGGGGGCCTGGTACTGATTACCCACTCATGACTTCGTGTTTCAACAGATGGATACAAAGCTTTTTGGCCAGTGGAGAAGAACAGGACTCCAACTACTAGCATGTTGAAGGTCGTTGAGGTGGTTGACTGAAAGTTCTAACTACCAGTCCAGGAGGTGATGAGCTAAGGGGTTTGAACTCGTTGGAAGGTCTTGTGGTTTGCGGTGCGGCATAGTGCCTGCCGGCCTTTTTGTGGAACCCAGGAAAGGCATGTATCAAAATGTCTCGACCAGTTCATCGATCAGCATGTTTTGAAAACCATGAACTCTTCGATCTCTTCTTTCAGGGAGCCACTTTCTTGCTCACACGAAAAACAGAAAAAGCAAACAGTTGCTTTGAAGACTCACCCTCACCCTAGCAGTCAGCATCCCAGGTGGAATATCTTTGATTTTGCCATCATCACCCTGCAGCTCGGTGGTTGTTGGGGGCGACCCACGACCGGACGTTTCTTCGTTTCAAGCCGGCTTCGGCGACGTCCCAGCGAAGGGTCGTGGACAGCACAGACCCGACGACAACCACCTAATTCACACCAAAGTTTACCATCCCAACTTGAAGTTCTGGACCCTAGGCCTCCAGTTGTACCTTCGTTTCGAAGGTGGGACTGGGGGCCCGGGTGCCATGTTCGGGTCCAGTCATACCGAACCTGAGGAGGTACGACTGGAGGTGTAGGGAGAACTTTTGGGGGGCAAACGAACCACAGGGTCTGTGATCAAACGAACCACACGAGGACGTTTTTTGGTGGGTACGTTCTCCGGTGGGAGCCACCCAGTGCCATCGCGTGAAGGCGTGGGAAGGAGTGGTGCCCGTTTTGGGAGGACGAGCTGAGATGAGGGGTTTTTCGGGGTTTTTCGGCAGCGAAACACCAGCTGAGACGTTCCAAGAGGGGTAGCTAGTGACCTGAACTAGGACCATTCTGGGGTACCGAACTGGGATAGTCTATAGTCTAGTTCAGGTTCTTCAACCTCTGTTGGTTCACCCAGCCACTTCATCATCACTTTTTTTACCTGAAACCACCCGAAACGACTCGGTGAAAGGCATGAAGATCGCTCCGTGCGTTCACCGCCCTGGTCCCCGGTCCCTCCAAACCGAGTTGTTGCTTCGGGTCCGGACCCCGGACGTCGTCCGGAACGGAGGAAGGTCCCAGTTCCTGCGCCTCCGCGTGCCTCGCATTCGCTCCTCGAGCCCCCCAGAGGGCTCGCGTGCCTGCGCGGGTTTTTCTGCGCCTTCTTCTAATTTGATACCCATGATTTGGAAGGCCACGGGTTTCAGGCGGGTCCCGGTATACCAGCAAGGGTCAGTAAAAGACTATCACTCTTATTGAGAAAAGGCCTCCACCCTAAGCATCATCCACAAATGATTCCTGAATAATGGGCCTACCCAAGCCATGTTCAGGCTTACCTTTTGCGACCACACCACGCAGTGCCCTCTTTCCGAGGGCTTTGGTCGAGACGATTGGCGACGTGGTCGCCACCGCAGCGTCGTCGTGCCGTGGCGGAACACACTGCCGTGGTGTTTGGACGTTTGGGCTCGGTGGTCTTTGGACGGTTTACTCTTCATGACCTCTAATGACCTCTACAATACCTATAGACTATTAGTTTCCCCAGTTCACGGTCATCAGATTGGTGGAAAGGGTACGAACAGCAACACCATAAGCAGGTTCCGGGCGTTCCGTGATATTTGGTTGAACATCCATCGTTTCGCACGGTGGTTGATGTGGATCAAGTCGAGCCTCTTCGGCCTCTTCGACACGGTCTAGACCGGTATCTGTGGATGCCCCACGTGGATGCGACGATGCGGTATCCATGGAAGGGAACTCGAAGATAGACGACCCAGTTCTGTCTTCGTGAAAATTGGGTGACCTGTTGGGTTCGGTGCTGGTATTTATCGGTGAAGAAAGCACCTGATGCCACATTGACTCCCCGATGCACCAATGGATCGACCTCGACGTCCTGTTGCTTCGCTCGGATCTCGACCGCTCGGTCCGTTGATCTGGGTCCGAAGTCCCAGAAGAAAGCCTCACATGCAAAGACCCAGGCATTGGTCAAGCGTCTTATGTGAAGGCCTTCTGTTTGGATGGTCTTCCGGGCCTTCAAGGGCGAAGTCGCAGCTTGAGTCCCATTGCCTTTGCCCACTGCTCACTATATCACACTGTTTTTTAGGCGCATGGCGGAGCCTAAGGAGTGAGAACTTTAGTTTGATCTTAGCGTTTTTGCGTGTGTTTGCTGTATATTGTTTAACACTGATTTGAAGAGCGGTAGTCCTCTTGTAACACTGTCTTAAACACCTTTCAGCCAACCCAGAAATCACCTCAAGCCAAGATATCGCAAAGATCGCATACGGAAGAAAAAAGCTCAGATCTGGTAGCTCCACCTCCAAAAGGGGTCCTGCATCTTTCGTTTCGTTTGGCCATCCCCCAACACCAAGTCTTCCTTCGCACATTCCATTATGCCCCATCCGAAACGCCCTCCATCACGCTCCATCATCTCCAGGTACCTGGAGATGGATCCCAACTTAACAGCAATGGCTTCCCTCCTAATAGCAAAAGGAACTCCAACCTAAGAGCGATGGCCTTCAGGTACCTGGAGATGGATTCCAGCTTCTTCCGGATCTTGCGCTTCGTCCGCTTGGGCCGCGCCTTGCGGGGCATCCGCGTCATCCGCTTGATCCACTACGTGGGAGCGCTCCGGACCCTGGTGTGGCCTGGCGGAGGGCGGAGGGGAGCTGCGAAAGAAGTGGGAAGTAAAAGAGGATGAAAGAGGCTGGGTGACGTGTTGTACATGTATAATCCCGGCTAGAGACCCCAAACGGGTCTAGAGGTGTAGCAGCAGAAAGTCTAGAGATCTAGACGCATTGGAGTGCAGAGAGGTGATGGTGGTGATGAAGATGGAGATCGCGGTGATGATGGCGGTGGTGGTGAGTGAGTGAGAGTGAGTGTGAGTGTGAGTGAGAGTGAGTGTGTGCAAGACATGTAAAAAACATTTAGGTTGCTGTTGTCCTGTGATGCAATGCTGTTTGCTGTTCCATGTCATACAAGTTCAAACTATCAAAGGAGAAAACATACACCAATGCAAACAAAACAGTCACATGCAATGTCATATTGCAATGGGTGTAACCACAACGGGTAAAAGAATAGCTGGGTGTACCCGCGCCACGTCAGCCGAGAAGCAAGAGTCTGAAGAACATAGAGGTCTAGAGGTCGGGAAAGCGATCACAGAGGTCGGGAGCACGCATCTGAGAGCACAGTCATCAGAGCACGCATCTGAGATTTGCACTTCGAGGTTCACAAAGTGCTGTGTTTGCCATGAAATCTGCAGTTCGAGGTTCAAAAGTGCAGTGCCTGCCACGAAATCTGCACTTCGAGGTTCAGAAAGCACTGCGCCTGCCATTAAATCTGCACTTCCAAGTTCACAAAGTCCTGCGCCTGCCACGAAATCTGCCCTTCGACGTTCACAAAGTACTGCGCCTGCCACGAAATCAAAACTTCGAGGTTCACAAAGTATTGCACCTGCCACGAAATCTGCACTTCGAGGTTCACAAAGTCCTGTGCCTGCTGCAAAGTCTGCAAAGTATTGCACCTGCAAAATCTCCAAATGACCCACATGTCCAAAAGTCACTTCACTGCACCTGTCACGAAATCAGGGCGCCTCGAAGATCACCACCATGTCCCAAGTGCTGCACCTGCCACGAAATCTGCATTCGAAGTAAAACAGCTCCGATCCCTTGCGCTTGTCAGGAAAAGTTGACTTTGGACCGCCAAACCACGAGGTTTCCCTTGCGCCTGCCATGAAAAGTGACCACCATGTCCAAAAATGCGCACGGCGCCACAACGAGAGAGCAGTCGCGACAAGCACCCGCCGCGGCCAAGCAGAGTTTGCGAGCCTGCGCCGAAATGGGGCATGAATGTACTGCAAATAGCAGCGAATTAGCCGCACACCCCCGCGCAACACCTCCGATTAGACACCGGTGCTTAACTACATGACTACTACCGTATGAACCCCTAGTGTGTCCACACTGTTTGGTGAAAAAGTCTACTGTTGGGGTTGTCTTGTAGAACAAAGAGCTGGCCACACTGGCTGGCCACGCCCCTGAACTCTGAGTCCGGGTTTTTGCTGTTGTCCTCTGGCCGCGCTGGCCAACCCTGTGTCCTCTTCTTGTCCTCCTCTTGTCCTCCTTTGTCCTTTTGTCCTTCTCTTGTCGTCCTCTGGCCGGGCCCCTGAACACTGTGTATCCTCTTCTTGTCCTCCTGTTGACTCGTCTGGAAGTGCTGGAAATGCAACAGGACATGGAGAAACACCTGTCTAGGCCACAGGCCGGCTTTCGTGGGCCAGGACTGTACGGCGCCTGGCGAAAAGAATTCGAGTTGGCTTGAGCTAGCAATACTAATAAAGTAAGCCAATGCCAGACAGCAAACCCATTCCAAAGAGCAATGAACTCTAACAGTAAGTCCTGGCCTCCACATACAAAGATGGTGGAAGTGGTGGAGGAGGAATGGGGGCCACGAAGCCGAGGTATTGTCGCGAAATGTCGTGTATCGAGGCTGCAGCGCAGGATCTAAGGCTCTGATCCCGAGATCTGAAATCAATCGGGGTGATGACGAGGTCGCTGGTGCAAATGTTTGGCTGGTGTGTGGACTACTCCCTCAGAAAGTTCAGGTCCCACCTGAGAGTTACCTAGTGCAGTTCACCTTTGCATTTCAGTATGCCATGCTAAGAGTCACGAGTAGGGTCATGCTTTTGTCCTCCTCTTGTTCCTTCTCTTGTCCTCCTCTTGTCCTTCTCTTGTCCTGCTGTTGCCCCTGCCAACCCTGTGTCCTCCTCTTGTCCTCCTCCTGTCCTTCTCTTGTCCTCCTCTTCTCCTTGTCTTGTCCTCCTTTTGTCCTTCTTGTCCTCCTCTGCGCCCCTGATCAATGTGTCTGGAGCTTCTCTTGTCCTCTCTCCTCCTCTTGTCCTCCTCTTGTCCTTCTCTTGCTCGTCTTGCCCTTGTCTTGTCCTCCTCTGCTCCTCCTCTTGTCCTCTTCTGATCCTCCTCTTGTCCTCCTCTTGTCCTTCTCTCGTCCTCCTCTTGTCGTTCTATTGTCCTGCTGTTGTCCCCTGGCCGTGCGCTGGCCAACCTTGTGTCCTCCTCTTGTCCTTCCCTCCTCCTCTTTTCCTTTTCTTGTCCTCCTGTTGTCCCCTTGTTGTCCTTTTGCTGGTGTCCAGATGACAGCGTGGCAGCATGTAGACGTGACACCACCAAGCGCCATCAAAGGGCCCAATGTTTAGTGGGAAGGCGCCCGTTTTCGTTCTCAGTGAGTTCGTGTTGTTTTCGTTCCCTCATCCATTTCTCCTTTTCGTGTCCTCCTCTGGCAGACTGCTGCGTCTGCTGCGTCCGCACCGTCCGCCGCGGCACTGAACGCTGAAGCGCCGCTCAGCGAGGTTCGCGATCCTCAGCACGGCGGCGTCCCTCTTTTGGACGCTGGTGCTTCTGGTCTTGGTGGGCCGCCACTGTTTGAGGAAGAAGGGTCAGTAGTACGTCAGATGCAGATTTGGAGTGAAGATCGGGTGAAGCGACTGGGTTCAAACTTCACATCCGATCTGACAAGGTTTTCCAGCTCGACAATCAGTTCAAAAGATGCTTAGGGTGATCTTTGGTTTCTTTTATGCCTTTCGCTGCGCCAGGTCTTCTACATCTTTGGAATCATGTTTGCCCAGATCGTCACGGACACCTGCGAGCAGCCGGGGGGTCGGGGCAACTGCGTGAACGCAGGTTGGAAGGTTTGGAAGATGGGGGCAAAGAACGGCACTGTATCCCTCTCCAACAAACACCCAGACGCTCCATGGGACTGCCATCATATATGCCTATACATTGACCCCTCTTTCACCACCCCTGGCCTGATAGTCCTGTGCCAGTCCCATACACGTCGTGTCTGGGAAACATGGAAGTAGACGTCGTCCCCTGCTTGGTCTTCGGACAAGGCGCCCGTGCACGTAACGGCGGAAGACCGTGGTGAAGGGCCGAAGCCGTCAAAGGGCCAAAAGGATCCATTGACCTGGGGGGGCCCTGCAAAAAAGGACAAACGGTTTTGTTCAAAGACCAGGTAGGTAGCACAAAAACGGGGCCATTTGATTTCCGCCCTTTTTCCTGGATACCTTTCATTAACTTTGACTGAAGGCTGGTCAGATCTCACTGATGGAGCTACTCGGGTGTTCTTTGAGGTTCTCAAGCCATGAGAACTTACTTGGGGTCCACGCCTACGGTACATGTCTTTTAGATGGGTCCACTACTAAACCACCCAACTTGGGGTAACCACTGTACTTGGTGACCCCCTGTCATTGTAATCCATTTCACTTACACCGGTTTGCCTCGTGCCGCGGCCGAGACGTGGCCAGGACCATTGCCGTCATGGAGATTACATGTCCGTGCCGAAGTGCCACGACAACGGCTTGACCACGCGGCTTCAGCTTGACCGGCATTGACCGGTTGAAACAGCGGCGGATGGCGGGTGGGGGGGAAACAGACCCAAATGCATTGGTTGGGGGTCTCATGATTCAAATTTACGCACCCTTTACGCACCCCGCATACTCCTTTTTCCATCAAGTTCTTGTCCAGGACAAGAAACAAAGGGACAGTACCCTTGCTCTCCCTGTATCGGTTTTGGGGTCAACGAGGCGGTTATATTCACTCACAAATGTCGGAGCCCGGCAAAGTCGAAAGATCCTTTCTCTTGGAACCCCAAACAAGGTCACTTTGCGCATACACTCCGGAAGATTAACATGGAACCTTTGGAAGACTGCTTGTACGCTCCTCTATAACCCACTGGTATTCAGGTCCAGTGTCAATCTTCCAGGATGCACTGCAGACTTGCCAATGTTCTGTCAAGGAGGGTGGATATATGTTGATATCTCTCCGTTTTGGACTTTGGTTCCACATTCTAGCTTGGGCATCGGTCACTTCACCAGCCTGAAAAACCGCCGGAGCGCGGGGATTCTCAGGCAGATTCCCATGGAACAAGGGAACTTCCAACAAGGTGGACTCGGTGGACCTACACGAATTGATGAACCAACAGAGGCTGAAGGACCCGAACTAGCCTATCCCAGTTCGGTACCCCAGTAAGGTCCTATAAGGTCACTGATGGGACTGGTATTCCGAGGTTGTTTTCGGTTGTGACGAGCCGAGCGTAGCGGTCAGACCACATACCAGGGGGTCACGTTGAAAGAGGGTCCGGTGGTGGCTCGTCCCGGCCGTGGATCTTCGGAATCGGCACCCCGTCGAGTCCGTGACTGGTAGATAATTGGTCTGTCAGACCTCCGAACCTGTGCTTCAACCTTCTCCGCTCCACCGGTGGCCGAGAAGTCGGGCTGCCGGGGTGGTGCCAAAGGGGTCTGGCTTGATCGGCAGTCCGGATTGACAGTCCCATTAGTCGTGTCTATGGAAGCGGAACGTAGTTTGGAGGACCATGTTGCTCGTTTTCCACTTCCATGTGTTTGTCGGAGAGTAATCGAAGTGTTTTTTTCTTTCTTGGAGGCCATCGCCAGTAGGTTGGAGGCCATTACCGTTAAGTTGGAAGTGTGTGTGTGTTCATTCTTTTGGCCCCTTTGGCAAGCGCAAAAAGAATCGCCAGAAGGAACGTCCGCGCTCAGCTCCTTCACGCATTTTTCGGAACACTTCCAGAGGAGTTCACTTGAACAAACCGGGTGCGAAACAAGCACGTGCTTCGAGGTATTGGTTTGGAGTGATCGAAAGCATGCTGACACTCTTCATGGTGGTCTCTGGTGGTGTGCCTTGACAGAGTCGCTGGTGCCTGGCTGTGTGTGAAGCTGCCACGGCAGGTCTTGGCTTACATGGGCACATGTAGGGTCTGTCCGTTCTTACCTGTAACAGGACCCGGTTTCACAAGCAAATCACCACTTTTGGACACCTGCTACCTAACCATCAGCATCCCACTGGGCGAGTCCAGTTCGGATAGACCGGAGCCAGTCATGGCACCCTGCAGCGTCGCCCGGCGGACGACCGAGACCGGACGTCGCGTCGCTCGTGCCGGTAGCCGCGAAGGAGCAGGATCCGCCCATGGTCCGCGTGGTCTGGGGCGTGCCCGGCGTGCCCTATGTTTCGGTCCGTCAAGTTGTGCGTACGCTCCCCACAATCCACTGTGGTGGGAGGACCCACAAGCCATCTTGGAAGCAGATGTTGATCTTTCGATGTGAATGTTTCTGATTTTTGTCAAGGAAACTTCTGCTTGGAACAAGCAGTGCTTTTGCTGGTGTACCCTCCAACAAGGTGTGACCCTTCAGAGAACATACCCAGCTCCAGTCTGACCCAGCTCCAGTCTCCTGGTCCAGTCTGACCCAGCTCCAGTCTCCTTGTTCCAGGTCCAACTCCCGTGTTTCATGAGCGACCTGGACCTCCTGACCTGTAGGAGTGCCCTGAGAGTCCATCTCGACTTGGCTTTTTGGAGTGTAAGAGTCCAACCGTCAAAGCAAGACCATTCGATCACCCAAGACACGACAGGTGCTTGGAATAGGTTGGAATCCTACAGTCAGGACAGCTTCGATGTCAGCTGCTTCTCAGGTCAACTGGGAGGACATCATCCGTCCGCTGCGCCCCGTCTCGGCCTTTGCCGTGGCCTGCAGCTCGGCGCACTTCTACTCGCGCGACGCGCACGAGGAGCGGCGCAGAGGGCTGGGGTGGGTTGCCATAGACGGCCCGGGCGGACCTACGCCGTGTGGGTCGTGGTGAATGAAAGGGGATTTCTGTGGGTCGAGTGTTGATGTCCGAACATGGGAGACGTTCCCTGAAATGATCGATGGAACTGGATAAGCCCCACCAGTTTTGGTCTCAAAGCCATGCCCTTGATAGACTCCATGACCCAGTCACCCAGTCAGTGGCGGAAAACCTGCCCCCACCTGGCGAGAGGGTGGGTCGTCGGATCGTCGCGTAATCGCTGCTGAGGACGTAGAGCGGATCAGCTGCCCCCGGTCGCTCTTTTAGGATGATTTTGTTCTTCCGTTAGCTACACCCTGGAAGACTAACATGGAACCTGAAAATCCCTTGGTTGGTAGAGGAGCATCGTCTTCCATGGGACCAGGACGTCAGTGTCTATGTTAGTTTTCGGGAGTGTTTTCGGAGATAAAGGTGAAACCCGTCAGATTTTTTCCAGCGAAAGTGGCGCAGGTGGAGGAAGGGAACACTCCACTCAAATCCAACAAGTGGGTTCAGTTCACTGAAGCTTTTTTCACGGCTCGGGAGGGAAGGAGCCGCTCGGCCGCTCCGGCCCCGGTGTGCGCGGGGATTTGTGGTGTAGAGTGGGTTGATGAAATATATTTCAACGTGAAGTGTTTTATGCTCCAAATGTTGTTCTTTTAATGAATAAGTGTACATGTGATTTGATGATTGAGTGGTGCTGAAAGTTTGTTTATTAACATATTAGTGGGAGTGTGGCAGAAATGGGCCACAACACTAGAACTTCCACAGAGGTTCTGTTTGCCCCTAAAACGCCCAAACAATGAGGTGCTTGTTTACCTTTTCAGCCGACCAAGAATCCTTGCACGCAGCGCTCCCTTGCAGCAAAACCCATCACGAAAATCTCGAGAGAGAGAGAGAGCGACGGCTCGGGGGTCTCCATCTTCTCCACGGAGTCTCGATCGATCTGCAATCGATCGAGACTCCGAGGGGAGCGACCCACGTGGAGGTTTGGTCCATTCACGAAGCGACCACGGCGGAGGGGTGGTCGATCGTGTGTAGCGAACCAATGGGGAGACCTCCTCAGTTCGAGACCACAGGGTGTAACAGTGTGTAACTCAAACAGGAAGACCTCCTGGCTTCGGACGAGAGAGCCGTCTACCCCCAGCCAAGCGGCCGGCAGTCTCGATGGTGTTGGGGGGGAGGGAGACCCCCTCTGCAGAACAGTCACACATCCCAAGCGTCCTCTTTCGCAGACCAAGGACGCTACTAATTAGGGGCTCCTAGCCTTACTACTAGGAACAAGAAGCTACTAGGAACAAAGGGCATCGCTACAGCAAGAAGCTACGAACGGGGCTCCTGGCCTACTAGGACCTAGGAGCATTCTTACTACTAGTAACAAGAAGGCTACGAACGGAACAAAGGGCATGCATGAGCCCGATTCTGCAGCAGACCCGGTCGACACGACCTGTAGACCGGTCGACATCAGTTGGGGTGGTTCATCGAAAAGGGAACAATCTAGGTAAAAAGATCTTCCAGTTCGGAATCCATGGAGTGTTCACCTCTAAGGTTTGATCTTGTACATCGTCATCTCGGTCTTCACCATCTTAAATGTCGTTGCTGCCTCAGAGACTCAGATCCGGCTCGCGTTGGCTGAAGCTAGCGGTTTGGAAGCTTCGGAAGCATTCGGAAGCGAGGTGCTACAGGGGTGACAAACCGTGTGTCTCACTAAGTCACTAGGGAGACCTCCTGATGCTCTCCTGGCCCCTTTCCTGGGTAGACTGGTCTATTTCCCAAACCTTCTGGGAGGTCTTCATTATTAGCAAGGGACACGGTGGTTTGGAAATCTGGATTATGGGCAGTGTCAAGGGTCGAGCCGAGGAAGCCACTTTGGACCATGTCACATGGACCTGCAAGTCTATTGTGTAGCATGGGCTGTTGAGCAGAGAGCACTTCAAACGTGTCGACCTTGCCTGGTGATGCAGTGCACATGTCGACCATGGAAACTGTGACTTGCCTATGAGAGTCGCTCCCGAGGCCCCCCCCCCCAAAGGCAAAGGGAAATGGAAAGAAAACATTCCCCATGAACAGGAGCATGACAACTCGCTTCCCAGAGCGACCCCGCTCGCGTTCCCCCAATCACGTGACCTTCCAAAATGGAAACGGTTTGCTTGCTCAACTCAAAGCTATTGTGCTACAGGCTGAGGTTGAGGGTGAAGGTGGCCTTTTACATCAGTTGCGTGCGTTTGTTGCTTCATTTGCGTCTGAAAATAACAAGCCTGCCCCACAACATGCCCCGCACCAAATTGGACACCAGCAACGTTCGCATGAGCACCCCCAAACAGTCTGCCCAAACAGCGCGACCCAAGTTGACGAACAACTGGTGGCCCGAACCAACCACTTCAACTGCCAAGCTTTACGAGCACCTCCAATCAGCTGAGGAACCCCCTGGTAACATGATGTAACATGTCCATAGTTGACCTTCAACAAATGCTCCAAATCCGAGCTTTACCCGAAACCCACGGCATCACCAAAGCCTTCGCCTTGCTGACTTTTGGTTGTCACTCGCAGGAGCAAGCAGAACTGCATAAAGGACAAAGTCGATGGTGTAAACTGGTCAAGGGTCAGTGGAAAAAGCTTTGGGTTTTCCCCCTCTCTGCTGACGTTCCTCAGTGGCCTGTTGAACCTACTGTTGTCGATGCCTCTTCAAAAAAGCTGGTGGAAGCTGCTCTGTCTACCTACAGAGTTATTTTCCCTAAGCGGTTTCTCACAAATCCAATGGGACACTGCAGTCAGTTTCACCAGCGGGTTGCAGCGACGATGCCAGATGGTCGGAGCTGAAGTTACGGCTGGACATCTGACTGGTGCGACGAAAGCAGGGAATGAGGGTGGCTGGATCCAATAGAATCTCTATTGGGGGCGAAACTTCCCTTATTCCCTACGAGTCGCACCAGTCAGCCATTGTGGGATTTTTCAAGATTGCTACATCAGCTGCCTTTGACCCCACTACCAAATCAGGATGGATGAACGGTGTCTTCCAAAAGGTTTATTTCGGCTCAGACGACAGAAAGACTACACCTGTCAAATGGATTCCGTTTGATCATGGGCTTGCAACATACCATGCTTGCTGGCCCATCAAGCAAGCGATTCTGGAACACTAGTATGATCCTAGACCCGAGGATGTACAAGTATATTTACAGCCTTCGGCATGCCGCCGGCCACCAGCTCGAGCCCGCATTGGCAGGCAGCTTAATGATACAATACCCTGCTCAATCATACTTGTTGGTGCATTGGAGGTGCACATTTGGCTGGGTGAGTTTGTTGATGTTTATTTCAAGGTTGTTTGACCATGAAATGGAACGAATCCGAATCAGAGGTTGTCTATTCTGATCCAGCGATCCGAACCGGCATGTCGCAGTCGAATCACCTAAGAGGAACCAAGTGAAGCCAACACAAGCAATGCGAACCAAGACTATCCACAAAACATGACCTTGAAAACGATTCTTCTTCCAAACTACTTGGCCGTGTGCATGCTTTCCTTTTCAGATCCTTTTTTCGACCGTCTCGAGGGATTGCGACACGCACCAGATATTCTTTTTCACACACAGAAGGCTTCAAAGCGACCGAAGAATTTCTAGATCTGGCATGATTTGTCGTTTTTTCTCCAAAGCATTTGAAATGAAAGACCCAGAATGACATCGAACAACAATACCCTGCTCAATCAGACTTGTGGGTGCATTGGAGTTGCACATTTTGCTGGGAGAGTTTGTTGCTGTTGATTTCAAGCGAAGTCGTTTTACAACGAAATGGAACGAATCCGAATCAGAGGTTGTCTATTCTGATCCAGCGATCGACATGTCTCAGTCCAATGGTTGTCTATTCTGATCCAGCGACCTACTACCTACTACCTACTACGTACCACCTACTACCTACTACCGACTACCTACTACCTACTACCTACTACCTGCTGCTACTACTGCTGCTACTACTACTACTACCACCACCACTACCTACAGTCCAACCTACTACCTACTACGTACTACCTACTACCTACTACCTGCTACTACTGCTGCTAATACTACTACCACCACCACTACCTACAGTGGGCGGGGAGGGGGGGGGCGTCAGGCTGCCGAAAAATCCGCGCGGAGAGACAAACCGTAGATTGAAGCCAACACAAGCAATGCTAACCAAAACAATCCACAAAACACGCCGGCAGGCCGGCGGATTTACTGGAGCCCGTCAACAAGAATTGCATCGACACCAAGTGTGACATCTGCAGTAATGGGTGACGGCAGGGAAGCAGCCAAGAAGGTAGCATTGGCCCCGTCCATACATGATCCACACCTGCCTTTGATTGTTCCAGCTGTTGCAGAACTACTAGGAGCTCCGCCCCGGACCTCAACACCAAGCACCAGATCGCAGTGGGCAGTAGCACAACCACAAACACACAACCACAAACGGACCACAAACACACAATCACAAGCACACAACCACAGCCAGACAACCACAAACACACGGTCACAACACAACCACAAACACACAGCCACAAACACCACAAACACAACCACAACACACACACAACCACAAAGACACAACCACAACCACAAACACACAAGAACAGACACACAATCAGAAACACCGAAACCACATGCTGGACGGACCACTACCGTCAGTTCATAAACGGATGTGTATTATAGGTGTCATGTGCGCTCCAAAAATTGTGATCAATGCAGCTACATTCAGTTTCTACATCATGTCGACCCGGAACCCGAAAATGTGTCCTCTTTCTCTTTTGCAGGGGATCCCTTCTCCACTGAGTCGCGCTGAGGTCAAGAATCCCGACAATGCTTCAGTAGTCAAGTCTCGCCTGTCTTGGCCCAGGCAGTCTAGTGTTCACCTTCTTAAAATTACGAAAGCCAGCCTTCGTAGAAGGCGCCAGCGGAGTTGTGTTTGGCGAACAAAGTGAGTAGTTAGGGGGTCTGGGGGGGGTGGCCCGCAAAAGGTACACGTAAACTCGGCACATGCTGGGGGAGGAGGGTGCGTCGAGGGAAGGTTTTTTGAGGTTGTGTTGGAGGTGATTTTTGAGGGGTGGTGATGCAAGAAATGCAATTTGCATCATTTGCATCATCTGAATGGAAAGGTGTAGTTGGCCTCAAGCGACTGAGGAGCAACGAGCTGAGGGAGCACGAGCACACTCACCCACCCTCTCCACCCATCTCCAGCGACTGACTGAATTTGGATGGGCATGGATGGGCTGAAACCCCGGAGCTCAGGGCGAATGGGTGAAGCGGAGCGTTTTAATGTTCATCAAGAACATCACCAACCTTGCCAGGTATAGAGACCCAGGGTAGCTATAGTGCAGCTACCAGGTATAGTGCTTCAAGTTCCCTTTCCGTCAACCGCTCGATAACCTCTACACACGCACAGCAATCCACAGCTTTGAAGCCTCATGCGCGCGATACCTGGGAACAGAATTGTAGCTACCCTGGGTCCGTATAAATGCTATGTTGCTATACCTCTTACACACCTATACAAGTTCAAAGCACGAATGAGACTTCAAAGCTGTGGTTTGCTGTGCATGTGTGGCTCGAGAAAGCTGGGGGGTGATGCTTTACTGCTTTTGGAGCGGGTGGTGACGCACTCGCCAACTATGCCCTTCAATAGGAACTCGAACAGCTCAAAACCAGAAGATTCTGAAAATCTCAGGCCACCTTGAATTTAGCTTCAAAACTGTTTGCTTTAACAAAAGCCTTGTCACAGAGACACCTCAGGACCCTTGCTTCGCATATCTTCATTTTTGAGGTGGCCTGAACATATAGTTTCGGGCAGCGAGCCTCTGGTCCCAGGCCACCTCGAATTTTGGTGCATTGTTTGGCTTTTGCTTCATCTGAATGTGGATGGGAGTTATCTATGTGTGAAATCGGTCGGGGGTCGGGGGGGAGTGGCCCGAGAAAGGTAAACGTAAACTCTTGGAGGTGATGTTTTAGTGATTTTGGAGCGGGTGGTGATGCAAGAGTGCATTTTTTTGCTTTTGCATGGTTACCTATGTGTGGGCAGAACAAGACATGAAGCAGATTTGACACGCGGCCGCAAGCGGCTGCGCGAGCTCATTTGATTGCTTCGACGCGCAGTTGTCGAGAAAGGGAAGCGCTGGCTTTCGTTTTGCAGCTTCTCAGGTGCTTGCTGGATACTGGTGGGATCTGCGCTTCAAGGCTGCTGCTTCGACCATACGTGTTCTCACTCGATATGGCAATGTCCATCAAGGACGGCTTCCGGCCTGGCCGCTCCAGAAAAGTGGATGGACGGGCACAATCCGAAGATCCATGGCAGAGTTCGGTTTCAGTGAACGAAACGCATGGCCGCATGGCACTGGGTCCATCCCCGTGCTGGAACGATCCGAATTCATCCTCAAAGTCTTCCCTCTGATGTGTCGATCGCCGCGATGCATCCTTTTGCAGAGATGTACCTGTCACTGCCTGCGGGGAGTCGCAGAGCTTGGCGGTGTTGTCAGGTGCATTTGTTTCACGGCTTTGCTACAGCAAATGCAAGGCGTCTCCGAATCTTGTCCTTTTTGCCACTCGAAACTCGCTTCGCTTCACCATGCCGTCTGGGA